AAACGACATTAAAAATTATGAAAACTCGCTAAAACTCCGACCCGTTGCATGATTTCCGGTACACTGAAGGTCACCCTGCAGACCGACTTGTTTGCGCATGCGTAGTGAACGAAATATTTTACTGCGCAGATATGAAATTTTTTTTTCAAGTTTTCCGTTTTCAGCAAAGCGGTTGAAACGGGCGTATCGGCGGCAACTAACATGGAGTATGACTAATGTCGTGGAAACAAAAGCGAAAGCACTGTAAGATAAACTAAGACAAAGGTTTTTTTAATCCTCTTAGTTTCGTTGTTCTTCCTGGGGTTTATAGTTCCATGTTGGGATGTACTTTGTCCGCATACAGATGCATCTTTATGTTCTTACCCTTGTCGCGAAAGTTATTGTTTATGTAATATACATTTTCAATATCTTCAGTGATTATCTGCAGAGATCTGTTAAGTTTAACTATGTCTTGGTTAAAGGTGTCTTTATCCACTCTCGGTAATATACTGGATACGTATACTTTGCTGGTTGGGTAGGTATTGCGTGTATGGTTAATCAGCTGCTCATATTTGTTCTGGCATTCATCTAGTGGTATTCTATTGTCTACATCATTTGATCCAATGTTAAATACAATGTAAGAGTGAGCAATGATTTTGATCTTTGTCGGAGGCAGCGACCAAATATAATGATCGCTCAGTGTTATACAACACCACTCATCTTAGTTCCACCTGAGACCCGGGATAATTTGTTCCGCGGCGATTATGTACCACCTCGGAGTAAACCGCTACCTTCCATACCCTCTTTGGAATGAAACATTCCACGCATTTGACATTTGGCTTTAAAGGTCATCCCCGCGAGAGACCCACCTCTTTCTTTGCACCAGAGCCCTGCTGTGTAGACGTGTTACTTAACCTGCCTCACAATCTGTGTACTACGACGAACAGCATGGTGAACTTAGGCGACGAGTTTCCCAACTTTAAGGCTGATACGACCACTGGTGAAATTAAATTCCATGACTGGCTAGATGGGTCGTAAGTGAATTTTATTGATTTTTTGTGTAGTTTCAAATATACACTTGCAATGAGTTGTGCACTTACTCAGGTAGCACTTATTACAGGTGGGGATGACATTGCATTTTCTGGAGTCACAAATGCCAACAAATGTTGCTTAATCTTCTGTTCGTGTATAACACGAATCTGAATAACGAAACGGGTCTTGGCGAAAATCTGGAAAAGTCGCTACGTGTCGGTAAGCAGTGATGCATGGTCCGGGTTGGGCGTACCTGTATAACTAGATGTCCACTTCGGACCCTGAAGCTGTCCCCCTTCAGCTTCATGCTTGGACCTAGGTGACCACGTGTACATTTCTATCTTCGCACCAGAAATATGCAAACTTAAATTTGTAAAGTGATTGTTTGATTTAGGAAAAACAATCGTATATTGTTCCCCAGCGTGGGCGCACTGTGCACTTAATACTGGTAATGCAGGTCTGTAATACAGGGAACATTTCATTTTTAGGGGTGACCATTTTTTTTAGAAGGTGGGGTGAATTTTGAGAATATAATCTGCATAGGAAAAAAATTGAATTAAATCCTATTATTGATAACAAAAAAAAGAGGAAAGCTAAACTAAAATATATAAGCACGCTTCAGGCCAGGGGATTGATAATCTGTTTGACAAAAATTGAGCAGGAAAAATGAAATGTTTTCACCAATGCTAAAATACCTGTCTGCTGTTTATAGCTGAGAAAAGATGAAAAAAAAGGCCGAACATTTTCACTACTTTGATCTTGGAGTTAGCGATTACTGCACATTGACCTGCATTATTGTATTAAATACTAAAACTGAATTTTTACTATTTCCAATTTGACTTCTGGGAATTTCTGGAATGAAACATAATTTTAGGTAAATGGTGATGGTCTGTCAATTTTTTTTTTATTCAGAATAGACAATTCAATGTAAAAAAAAAAATAATGTGAATATTAGAGTGAGGAAATGTAGAAACAATTAAAGGAAAGCCAAGCTCAAATCTGAGTGAAAGGAATTAATTTTAGCCACCCAACATTTATCAACCCCTAATGCAACGGAATTAACATGGGTTATATTTTCATTCAACAATATGGCACTAAAAATAGTGCTGCAATATGTATAATATATTTTATACAAGAACAATAATACAATGCAACCAGAATACTATAAAGAAACGGAGCAGTAGGTGTATGATTTTTTTTTTTTTTTTTACACTTTTATATTGAGGTACCACGGTTGTCAAATTAGTTCCATAAACAGTTTTATTATCTTGAGTTTCAACACCCCCCACCCCAATAGTCCATGTATTAACTATAACTATAAAACACGCTAGGTAATATTACGTCTTAATTTAATCCATTGCTCCATTTTTTTTCCACATATTACCTATATTCACAAAGTCTCGACAATTTCCAAAGTTTTCACAAAACTGTCTTGATAAACCTTAAATAAAAGATGCCGACGATAGTCTCAAAAAAGGTGGTTCGTTTAGTAGTTTGTCAGTTTATGCATTTATTAAATTCATTACAGACATTGTCTCACCTGCCCACCAGATTTTCACTCCATGTTTGTGACAGCATTGATAAGATAGTTTATTAAAGTGTGTTTGATGTAGTGTGCTAGAAATGGATGACTGATAATTTGTCAACTTTTCATACATAAATACTGTGTGATAGTGTGTACATTTCTAGAGTTTTGAAACTTTCGTAACACTTTTACAATTGGTTCCTAAATTGCCCAGAGATATTGTTCCATCCCAAAATAACTGACAACCTTAAAAATGTCTTTTCATCAACAGACATAAAAGGGTGGCGGTCGTCCTGCAGCGCATGTTCGAATTTCTAAGAGTCCCATATTGAAATTTCAGTATTGACTATCTATTCATTGAAACTCTCTCCAGTTGTGACAAGTTTATCCTTTCCAATTTTTCTTTTTTTTTTGTATTTTGGATCTGTTTTAGTCTTGCTCTTTTGGACGTTACCTTATTTTTGTTTGTGTATGTTCCAAATAAAATATATTGTATCATATCGAACAAGACGTGACGACCACTGGCCTTTAATAATACCACAAACGTGTATACTCTCAAATCGTTTTCATATCAGCTTCCACTCAACTTTGAGCATTAAATCATGATTGGTGAAATAAATGCGCATCTAGACACTCACTGATATGTGCATGAATTCACCAATTGGTGAGTGTTCTGTGTTTTTCCCATAATTCATTGCATGAAGTTGACTGAAAACTGATATGGTAGTGTTATTGATGTGAACATACTGAAAATATCAGCCAAAATGCATCTTTTTTACTATTTTGATACAAAAGTAGGTGAATTTGAAAGATGCATGTATATGGTGATATGAAGAGGGTTATTTAAGACAACAAAACAAAATTCCCTGAGAATTACAACTTAGTGGTGGAAATCGACAAAACAGAGTTGCACAATTTCTCATATTTGTACAGAGTGTGTACATTTCTGAAATGAACAAAGCCCGATTAACAGGACCGTGCATGTACCTGGCATATTGACCCTGTCTTTAGTAATTAGCATAGCTTTATCCGGGGCTGAATAAGAAACTGTTCTACATACAGTGACAGTCAGGTGACTGTCTTCTAAAGAGGTTATAAACTTTCTATCGCGGTCAAAAGATTTTCATGCCCTTCACAATTACCGGTACTACTCAATAAAAATCAATATATTTATTTTCAAAAATGTTACCTAAGCTAACAGGTTCATGTCTATGATAAGTCTCTTGCTTGAATACAGTTTTGAGTCGTAAATTTTGTACAAATGTTTCCAGATGTTGTATACCAACAACTGAATAATTAGGCTCAATTGGCATGCAAATATCGCTTTAATTTCACTTTCCATTCTTCTAATAATCTTTGTTGCTTTGGAAAAGTTAGTATAGCTCTGTCAAGCCTGTCAGACTCGGGGTGGGGTGGGGGTGGGGGTGGGGGGTTCTTTCCTGAAAAAAATAAAAGCAAAACAGCCCCGCCTATTAACAATCTTCAGGTTTGCTTCAGGTGACGTAGACAGGACAGTTATTGTGTACTATTTAAAATAACTTTTTATGCACAACAATTGTGATATGTGGCTTTTATTTTGTTGATTACTGAATGAATATAAAATGTATGTGACAGAATTTT